CTTTGGTAGCTGTCTCTCTCCAGCACCAGAACCACAGCACTCTGACGACGGTGCCCCCAGTGACCTAGTTCCTTCACACCAGCTCCCCGTCTCTAAGGTTCCAGGCCATGCCAGCAAGCACCACATCGCTGCACGACTTGGCCACATCCAAGGCATTTCTCACGAGACAGTTTTCTGAGCCAAGCACAGAGAAGGCCCTGGAAACTGGTGAGCCGGGCTTTCACTAATAAGCCTGGTAGACAGGTGAGGACACTCTTACCCAGCTGACAGTAAACACTTTGGAATCAAGAGTCTTAGACACAAAAAAAGAAAACAAAACACAACTTCTAAATATTGTTACTGTCACCTGAGCAATGTGAATAGCAGCCAAGAGACTTATAGTGACCAAGCTGTCGCTGTTGGATAAAGACAGAAGGACTCGCAGGCAAGGGGCAGTGTTTGCAATCAGCTCTAAAGGCAGGCTGGCCGGACTAGTCCACTTTAGTACTGTGGTCAGTAAAGGCCTCGCAGGCTTCCATTACTTCAGCATGTTCCCATATACCTGCTTATAAATTCTCTTTGGCGTTGAGCATTTAGAATGTGAAATAAATCCCAACTAGACAGTTATGAACACTGTGGGCTAACTGGACAGATAAAAGTTGAGTTCCCTGGGGGACAAACAACGTACTCCCTTGTCTAGAACACCAGACTGGGGACGTTATCCTTGCCTATAATGTATAACAGGAGAAAGCTTGGTCCCCACCCCACCCCACCCTACCCCTCTGATTCCATCTCTGGGAAGGGAGCCCAAGTGGGCTGGGCCACTGACAAGCCAAACTCATCTGTTCCTGAGGAGCAAGTCCCAAGACCCTCCTCCTCTGCAGAATGTTCTGGAGGAGGTGCATCAGGAACAAGAGGATAGGTGACAACTTCTGGAAGCAGAGCTGATGTCCCCAAAATGATCCTTATTGTCACGGGTCCCCATAAGGTTTGAGGACAACATTCACCTTCCCAACAACACGGCCTTTCAACTATGAACTCACACACTGCACCAGCAGTAGCTCTGGTGGCCCAGGCACCGTACTCATCGGGCTGCTACTACTGTTCTTGCCTTAATAACCAAAGAGGCCCGGCTCTGCACCGGGCAGACGAAGACCAAGCACTACTCATTAACCTCTCACGAGCAGGCCCCGACTTTCAACGCCATCAACTGACGGCAAAGGCCTTGGAGACGCGAGGTTAATCACGGCCTCCAGAGGGGGGAGCCTGAGAACACAGGTCATGGCCAGGTACGCCCTGCTTTATAAAGAACAGGGATACACCTCTTAAAAACCATGACAGCTCAAGCTGCACCTTCAAACGAACGCAGCACGGCCAATACAAAGTTCCGGCAGAACAGCTTCCAAGAGCCCTTCCTCAGGTTCATCCACCAAGTGTGAGCGATGCTAAAATTATGTTTTAATAGTTTTAATAGTGATCATGTGACCTAGCAATTTTCATTCCTAGGGAGGCTTAAGGCCATACGAGTAGGGGTTTCTTGCGGTTCACACAGTAAAAAACAAAAAGCTGTCCACACATCTTGGGAAAACACTCTAACAGTTCACCCAAACACGTCCTAGACGATGAGTGGATGGGTAAGATGCGGTACACCACATACAGTGGGAAATTACTTGGCTAGAAAACAGACAGTAAGCGTGCAGACATGGACCGCTATGCTAAATGAAGAGTGTCTGTCTCAAGAACCCACGTGCCATATGACATTAGTTGGAAGAAACACCTAGAATAGGCAGATCCATCCACCTTCAGAAGGCAGTGCTGTGCTTAAGGGGAGCAGGACAGGCAGGTGGAGGGTGCAGAGTTTCTGTTGGATTCCATGGGACTGCTCTAAAGTCGACTGATGACGTCCGCACAACTGTAAATATACTACATGAAGTGCGATCCGTGCATTACATCTCAGTAGAACTGGGTCTAAAGGGGGAAGTGGGCAGGGTTGCGGTTTGGGCTACCTGTTGAATGCCCAGTGAGCATGCAGGAAGCTGTGGGTTTGATTCCCTGGGTTAGAAACTGAGATGTGTACCTCTACCCCCACCGGAGGCAGGAGGCAGCAAGTTCAAGGTCACTCTCAGCCACACCGGTGATACTAAGACACTTAAGGCCAGCCTGGGCTATGTGAGATCCTGTCTTCAAACACAGACTAAAGAAAAAAAAGCAAAACCTGAACAGAAGAACCAGAGCCACACCTGGTTCCTTTCACATTCACAGCAGGCCCTGAACACTTCCCCCATCACCCAGCGCTGTCTTCTAACAGGGAAATGACCGACCCACACTCTCTTGTGTTCAAAGCAACACTCAGGCCTAACCATGATGTGTCTGTGGGGCCGCAGGACAGAGCACTCCCCCTGCCCCCAGCCGCTATGGCTACAACAGTGGCTGATCGTTAGAAAGAACAAAGGTGCCCACCGCTGACGGTGACAGCCACGCACAGCGCATCAACAGCACACACCGCGCAAAGCCATGCTGACAGCAACAGACAGCACAGCACCCCACACAGATACACAGACGACAACCACAGAGCTGACCACAGACAGAGCTGCTCAGGTGGTGTGGCAGAGGCTTGGAAGGAACCAGAACATCCCTCTCAAACACTGGTTACAATTACCTGCGGTGCAAAAAGATGCAGCCGAGTTCTTCACACTGAGTCACCCAGACCCACCCACGCTAATGCCACAGACCTTTTAGACAATGTAACATCTCTCCGCTTTAATTAAAATACAATCTTGACATGCCTTGTCTCTCTCATTCCCTGCAAGACACACTCTGCCGGGTCTGTTCCTAGTAAGATACGTAAGCTCACAGACAGTGTGCACTGAGCTGTTACTTAACCCTGCAAAGCGTCCAAAGCCTCAGAGACAGCGGGCACTACCATCCGGGCTCCGGGCTCGCCTTCACAGCCCTTTTGTGTCTGTTTCCTCTAAGACTGAAGCATTCCAACCTGTTGGGAAGCTCATTAAGCTAGAAGGTAAGCAACTCAAAATAGCTTCAGAAAGTCCCTGAAACTGAGCAGATTCTCTAGGCCCCTCCCTGCCAGAGTCAACAACAACAACAACAACAACAGAGACTCAAGGAAGCCAAGCTACAGGAAGACTTGAGACCAGACCAGCTCCCCAAAAGCAGCAGCAACCCTCCGACCTGCCTGGGAGGGGTCTGGACCAAGGACACTCTCCAGACCTGTGGAGCTGCCTGGAGGCTGTGCAGAGTGCTCCAGGCTATTTTGTCAGCTGCCCCCCCCACGCTTGTTGATAGGCTGTCTTTGAGTCATTTCTGCCCCTGTAACCCCTCACCCATACTCCTGCAAGCAACCTCAACAAAACTCATTGGCTCACGAAGCTGGACTTTGGTGGCGTCCCTACCTCGCCTGCTGTTGAGTTCCCTATCTGGGGTGAACAGACATTGTGTCTCCCTGGAGAAGTTCTGTCACGAGACACCCCCTTCCCCACCTCCCCAAGGCTTGTGAGAGATTACAGCCCTCTCCTGCTGATGCTAGCTTACTTTCTCCACCTTGTGACCACAACTGACACCTGGGGAGAGGGTCACAGCTTATGAACACACACCCGGCAGAAGGCTGCTGAAAATACAGGCCACCGATCCACATCATAACGTCCCAGTGCAGTGTGCACAATACCGATTGTGAGACTCTTACCAGGCCTCCTGAGTGTCTCTCAGCTAAATGGTCTAGATGCCTGGGACCTGTACTGTGGAGTAAGACACAAATTCTCAAAGGTTTATCCTGCAGCGCCGTTTGTCTATCATGGCAATGCAGTAGGTAAACACTGGAACAAAGCGTTTTAAAACTGAAGAAATGTGTCTTCTAAAACTTATATATTGTATCTACCTTTCAAGGCTGATTAATAGAAACAGAGTACTCTAGATATACGTATGAAACAACCAGCATTGGGGAACAAAATTTAACAAGGAAGGGATGAGGACATTTTTAAAGAAATTATTCAGTCCCACGAAACCCAGGCACAATTGGTCGGTTCCCTCCTTTGTGGAGGGAACTATGTGGATAACAAGAAAATAAGTCACCGTTGGCTGAAAGACACCTCTCATTCCCATCCCGGATTCAACTCAGGCAAACTGTCAACATCCAGACCTATAGAGTGACGGACAAACTGGCCGGCATAGGGATGGACAAAGAGAAAAGATGCAGACGGAGAGAGATCACAACGCCAGCACAAACGTAGCCAGATCATCCTATGGTTTTCGGCATCTGCAAGATGGAGCTGGGATGTCTTAACCCACCTGCTCAGCTTTGCGTGGAAGCCCCAGAACCACACACTGTGGACGGCCCTTTATAACGTGTCCTAGGGCTATAACGTGTCATCTCGGGCTACTGAGTGAGAAAAGGCATCAAAGGTCACAATGCTGGGGACACAGCAGCCTGAATGGAAGGACGGCGGCTGCCACAGCTGTGTACGACATGAGTAGGAGGACCAGTGTGTACTTCTAAGGCTAGCTCTGGAATGGACACCCACAGTAGCCTGTCAGACAAGCGGAGGGGTCCAGTGAGACTAGCCACCTTCTGTACCTCCCCAGTCTGCTGCTCCCCAATTTCAGCGTTCACCTGTTTTGTTCGCTAACAGAGCCCTGGGGCTCAGAAGTGGGCACAGTTCATCAGAGTCGTCGAACCCAGGATGAGCTGACCAGTCTACCACTCCTTGACCAGTCTCAACAAAGCTAGGAATGTGGGAAGGTGTCCATCGTTTCTTCTGAACGACTCTTGACCGTGGCTTTTGGTTGCCACGAGCCTGCCAGAGGGCTGACACGGAAACCATCCTGGCCTTAGAACCTTTCCCCTCGGCTTCACAGCAAAGGAACCTGACATTTCCGCCATGAAGGGGGGGGGGGGGCTCACGTGCGAAGGGATGGACAGGGAAATGAGCTGAAACGAGTCCCTCCCTCCTACTCCTCCGTGCCCCCCCCCCCAGGTGAGAGAAAGCAGGGAGGGAGCCGGGGCTCACCTGCTCTAACGTGAGTTGCTTGGAGATGGTGTCATTCTCCAGCTTCTTAATCTTCTTCATCAGCTTGTTGACCTGAAATTCCTGCTCCTGCTCCAGGTGCTGCTCCAGCTCTGCCTTCTCATGCTGCAGCTGGAAGACAAGAACACGGGTGCGGACACTGAGCAACTCCAACGCCATCCATCAAGGCCTTGCAAACGCAGGCTTCCCAAGGCCGCACCACTACCAGGCCGCTCACAGACACCACGGCGCCTATCTGGGCTCACGCGCGCACAGCTCGGAGCTCATTCCTTGTAACCACGGGGCTGCCATCCAAACAGTAAATACATAAACCATCATCAAACCTGGTTATCTATTCTGAAAGAGTTCAGTGGATGTCTCTGCAGGGAGGAATTGGGAATCCGGGGATCAGAGGAGAGGGAGGCTTTGGAACACGTACTGCCACCTCTTTTAAGTTATACGTCACGGACAGAAAAACTAAGGACTTCAGGCATATGCGTGCCAGTCAAGAGAAGGTAAGCTCTCTTCTTCTGCCTTGAGATCTGGGTTTGAACTGACATCGGCAGGCTGTGGTGACAAGTGCCTCTGCCCGCTCAGCCTTCTCACCGGCCCAAGGAATTTTCCATGTAGAAACTTCACACTGCCAGCCATTAAATTAACCGTAACCTACTCAGATTTGCATCACGTCTGAAGAAAGAGATGTCACAATCCGAAAATACACTGAGCAAATTATTCGGAATTATGCTATTTCCCAAGGTGCACGTAAGCTGGTGTTGGCAAAAATCAGCAACATCAAGTTTTCCTTGCATAATGAAATCATCACACCTCCTACGTCTTGCTAACGAACCCCGGGTGTGTATGTGGGGGGTGGAGGGACTAGGGCGGGACCTCTTATATATGCAATTAAAAGTTAATGCTACGGTGTTAAATGTAAAAAAAAATTTACATAGTTTAAATATAAAACCAACCTTTAAAATCCAAAAGGAAATTAAAGAAACCCAGGGGCCACAAGGGAGGCCAGAGTTCTCACTGGTAACCGGTCGTGATTTCCAGTACTCTCTTGGGTGGGTGTGTTATGATTACGGCGCAAGAGGGACCCAAGCAGGACCCATGGCGGGTGAAAGACCAATATGCATACAGACAGAGCTTGGGTGTAGAGTTTATTGAGATAAAGGGAATGGGGAAAGAGAAAACAGGAGAGACAGAGACGGGGAGAAGGGAGAGAAAGGAGAGACGGAGACAGAATGCTGCCACCTTAAAGAAATGGCAAAAAGCAAGAGTGGGAGTAGGCGGGGCTTGCCTCTTAAGGGACAGGGTACTATCTGCCATGCCTGCAGGCGTGAGGCAGGGCACAGGGCACGATGCACTGTGCCAGGTTCCCAAGGGGCAGGGCAAGGTGTGCCTGGATACTAGCAGGGTGGGGGCATCAACAAGACACAGACACTAATCCACAGTGAGAGTTGGCCCTCTGCTGCAGGAACCCGACAGAGTTGACAGTACACAGAGTTCAACTTCTTCCACTGAACGGTATGCTCCGCATGAGTAGTGGGGCCCGGGCCATCTCACTCACCTCCATTTTTATATGGAACACAACAGCTCACTGAAGGGAGGAGGGCAATGCACCTGGAAATCAACAGAGCTCGGGAACCACACCCAGCCCTTGGCCCCACCCCTCAGCAAGGACACGCCAGGAAGGCTGCCTTCAGACTCTGCCTCCAGTCTGCCGAGAGACATGTTTGGCATTTGGAGAATCAAAAGATTAAGTCCAAGAAAAATTAGGCCAGCCCACCTTCCCTCAGGAGGGGACAGTGGGCAACTGGGAGACCCAGGACCAGATCACCCCCAAAGGGACACACACTCACATCTGGCAGGATTTCTGCGGCTTAGAAGTGCATACTGCCTAAAGGCACCCTCTGAGGTCATCTTCCACCACGGGAAGTGTTGACCGAAGCAGCTGCTGCATCCTCCCTCTCCCCCACACAAACAAGCTGGTCACCCTTGCAGGGACTCAGAGAAATAACAGAAAGCAGATGTGAGGGGTGCTTACAGGGATAAATCTATTCTTAGCTCATTCTTGAAAACTCAGGTTCTGCAAGTCTATGCAGTCATTCGAACTACACAAGTGGCCAGAGCCCAGGCAGAGCTTCTGAGGGGCAGACTCTGAAAAACAAGCAAGGGCTGTTTTCACCAAATACTGCCATTCTGGGCATGTGGAGGGTGCAGGTATGATGTGGGGGGCAGGTAAACCCACTGTTAAGATGTCCCCGTGCCTTGAAATAGACTGGCCACATTAGGTCTGTCTGTGAGTTAAGGACCTTAAAGTCTTAAACCCTTTAGTCCATTTGCATAAAGGTGTTTCTAAATATATCCTCCGACATGTTTTTCAACTGCAGGCATTTTATTAGCTGAAAATGGCTTCTTTAATTCTTTGTTCCATCTTTTTTCCTCTGAAAAGAGTACTACTGCTTCTGCCCCCAGGTAAATTAAGACAATAAAGAATGGAATCTAACCCTGAAAAGCTTCTGGCCCAACCCGCATCATCTGTCAGGGAATGTTAACTCGAGAGGCTCTGGCTGACAGCAGGAAGTCATATTTAGACAGATGTTCAACTGCTGTCAATAATCAGCGAGGTGTTTCCGTTAAAAGACAACACAGTGAACTTGGAACAAAGGCCCTGCTGCAGCTTTGGTGCCTCCCAGAGCCATGCCCTAAGGGAAACTGGAGGATAAAGCTGTCATGACCAGGACAAGGTCCTCAGGTTACACTAACCACTTGGAAGCTACCAAGTTACCCCAATCCCTGACCCTGCCAGGGATTCATTGTTCCCCAAGGAGAGAACAGAGTCAGCCCTTCTGCCACCTCTCGGGTGATAGGCAGATCTGAAGCAGGGCACGGAGTTTCCCAGCGGAGGAAAGAAAAGAGGAAAACGTGGCTCAGCGCATGAATGGCTTACACACCCCCACAGCGATGTGATGAGATTTAAGGTGAAGGGGAGTGGAGCAGAGAGGGAGGCAGAGTGGGGAGGGGGAAGAGGTGTGTAGGGCGGCGCAGGTGGTGATTTTAAAGATCTCCAGTTTGCCTCAGATAGTCTGCCTGAAATAGAAATTATAAATTATCCATTTTAGGCAGATTCAGACTGAGTACCCTTAACCTGAAGCCCTCAAACGCTCCAGAGCCTGAAACTATTTAAGCAGTGGGAAAACCTCTACAGGTAGAAAGTGTCACACCTGCCTTCCTGTCGGAGCAAAACTACAGGGGCACTCACTGAAACCACATCCAGGCTGTGTGCGGTATTCACACTGTGTGTTTTGACCTGAGTCCTCTTGTCCAGGATACCTCCGTTAGTTATAACAGATAATCCAAACTCCTAGAATACCTGAAATTCCTTACACCCAGTGTCCCAAGCATTTCAGAAGAGACATTCTCTCTCTTCTGTGCCATTTCAAGCCATCCTGGACGGAAAAGGGCTTGGATGGACACCCTGAATCTACCTGCTGGTTCAAACCATAGCTCATGACACCACAAACCCCCTAGAGAACCTTGTCGGAGGCAGACCTGAGAGCCGCCACCAGAAATGAGCTCCAGGACCCTCGCTGCTCTGTCTCCAATATGGGTGAGAACCTCCAACTCAACCATTAAATCTCTAATCTCATCAGGGCCCTTCATACGCTGCCACTAAGGTCGGCAATTCTTATGAAAAATAAAATAATACCAAGTAAAGAAAGCAAGCAAACGCCACAACATGCTTGAAATCAACTACCAGCATTTCCTTAATGCAACTCTACTCTGCTTATTTGGGTGAAAAGGGTTGTTTTGAAAACTAAAGAGTTTAGGAGCTGAGACGGCTCATAATGGCAAGTGTTCTATCCCCAGCACCCATATGATGGATGGCGATGGCTCATAGCCAATTCTAACTTCAGTTCCAAAGGATCTGATGCCCTGTTCTACATCCCCATGTTATGCATGCACATAATACATATACATACACTCAGGTGTGTGCACACATGCACATAAAACACTTTTTTAATAAGGAGGGTTTAAGTATACTCTATAGAAGGTATTCTCAATGATTATGGAATAACTTAAGTTGTGCTGTATACTGTTAATACTGACAACAGCCAATCTATGAAACTGGGATCACATTTCATCATAGGTGTTCACCTAGCAGGTTTTACTCTAAGACAGGGGGGTCCTAGCTGCTCAGGTGGGCCTTGAACATAAGCCTCCTGCCTCAGCCTCTTGAGAAGCTGGGATAACAAGCCTACACAACCAGATGACCTTGTGCACGCAACACCATTTGCTACAGAGGGGAAGAAAGCTGCACCCGCTCACCTGGGTACCACCGTGAGCAGCAGCACAGGTGCCCACAGGGTGTCCTCCGCCAGGTCCCAGACTGCACAGCAATGCCGTGGGGCTTACCTTGTCTTGATGCAGCCTGCACCAGCATCTGAGTGTCACCCCAGGACCCAGCTTCCTCAAGGAGACCCGAGGCGTCCCACTCAACAGTAATTCACCTCTTTGTGTACAACTTCCTGTTCCCCACCTAAAAGGCTGATGGCTCAGACAGTCACAGCCACCTGCGTGGCACCAGGTAAAACCTACGACTGAGTTAGCCACTGGACTGTCACTCACCTATTCCTTAGGAAAATAACACAAAATGTCTGACAACAATAATCACCTCTCAGGAACCAATTTTACAGCCCTTGACTGAGAGGCAACTCAGATACACACCATGAGCGCTGGAATCACCCCAAGGGTCTCTTAAGAGCACACTCCAATTTGCACGCCCCTCCCCATACACAGGCTGCTGCTGACCCTGTCCTTCTTACTCAACAGCTCCCTCACATCTCCCTGTCCTCCACATGAATTCAGCCTCTGCCACGGCTGACAAACATCCTCGATGACCCAGGCTAGCTGAGGTCTTACTATTGTTCGTGAGATTACATCAATGGATATCTCCGGAACCACTGAGGACCAATGGATCAGGGTCTGCAGCGGATCTGGATCGGCAGATGTCTTGGTTAGGGTTTCTACCGCTGTGATGAAATGCCGTGACCAAAGCGACTTAGGGAGGAAAGGGTTTACTTGGCTCACACTTCCACACTGCTGTTCATCATTGAAGGAAGTCAGGA